CAGCCGGGGAGCCTGCGCCCCTGCGTCCTGCGCTTGTGTTGAAGAGGTGTGTGAAGTGTGTAAGCCGGTGCGAGAAGAGGCACGAGGGAGGGGGCGTGCTTGATTCTAGGCTGCTTATCAAGTGTGCGTGTCCTGTTGTGTCGCATATATTCTAGAATCAAAGATTTTTGTGGGTTTGTTTCGGTGTGGAGTGTTTTTGCCATTCATCCTGCAGGATCGATAAAAGTTGCAAACAAATATGACACATTGTGTAACATATTTGGAGCGAGGAGAGCCAGATTCCTAAAATGACTCCCGGGTGAAATTACTTGTGTGTGCAGGAACCATACCGAAAGTGTACCATTAGTGTGTGTAATGCTATTATTTGAGGAAGATGATGTCACAGCGGCAGGAGCAAACATCGCTCGGGCCCCAGTTTAAACGCTCTCGGCATCCGAGCAGACCCAACATGGGCCCTCAAAGCCGACCTTCGTGCATTGCTTTTTCCTCGGGACCGGCTGGGAATCGCCCCTCCGCCTGTCCAGTCCCAGCCTTCATTCTGGGCAAGAGAGACAGACCTGCCTTCAGGCACAGGGTAGTGGACGGAGATTCAGGCTTTGGTACCGACATTTCCACCCGCATTTTAGCAGAAGTTTGGGAGGCTGTGGAGAGAAAAGGGTGTGATTAATCTGGGTATAAACGGTGTTTCCTTTTATACCCAGGTCCCGGACATCTCGGGGCAGCTAGGGTTTCAGGCCCACGCAGCCGGGGACCATACCCCAGGTGAGCCGCTGGCGGGAACAGTTCCACGGGCAGCTGGTGAATGCCACCACTCCGAGTTCACCCTTTCCAGAGAGGGTGAGCCAAAAACCAGAGAAAGGAGAGCTGGGTATGACTGGTCAGCAAGTGTCTAGTGATTTCTAGAACAGATTTTAACAAAAAAAACGAGGAGAAGTTCCAGCTGTAAAAACTGCAAAACCTTCCGTGCCTGTGGCTGACCTCAGAAACTCTTGGTTGACCTGCAGTGAGCACACATTTCTGGATTATTTAGGTGAAACGAATTTTGGAGGACAATGGTCTCGGTGGGCTCTAAACTTGCTGTTGACATTCACTGCTGGACACTTTATCACTGACCTGTCAGCTTCTCATCTCATGTAGACCAGGCCATCCCTCCGGAGACAGTGAATAACTGGTGGGTTTTCAGGGTTATTTGATATCCTACGTTCCTGAAGGTTGAGCTTGATGTAGTTAGCCTCAGAGGGCCTGGCGGGGTATCGTTCATTCCAGGATCTTGGAAAAGTCAGGTTAATTCTTGTTCCTTGAGCAAATGTTTTGGTGCCACTTGGAACCGCGTGACCTTGGGAAGGTCATTTCACCTTGCAAAGCCTCGATTTCCTTACCCGTAAAACGAGGACCCGACAGGCTGCGAGGACTTAGGAAGTAACTTGCCTGGTGCCTGGCGTGGTGTCGGGTGCTTCATCAGTGCTTACTAAGTATTATAATTGTTAGTTACTGTCACAATTATTAGCTCCGGTTAGTTAGTGCTAGAACAGTTATAACTTGTAGTTATTATAATTGTTAATATTAATATTATAGTAGTTGTTATA